AACTAATTTAAAAAATAAAAAATAACTCTAGGAATAGCTTAGATATAATATATAGCTAAGCCATTTCTAGATTCTTCACCTTCAGAAAATGTGTGAGATAATAAATGTTTACTATATTGAGCTACTAAGTTTTAGAATAATTTGTTACATAGCAATAGATAGGGGAGAAAACAAATCTCTCTTGAAAATTCATATCCACAATCATCCCTCAGATATATTCACAGCCAAAATGCATACTACTTCTGTAGTACAAAAATCCTCAACCTAAGATTTTTAAATCTAAACTGTAGTGGTCCTTGGTACTGGCCAGAAATAAATGCTAATTTTCTCTGGAAGAACACACCTTCACCCCAAATCTCAAAAAACTCCTAAAGATAAAGATCCAAGAAACTGAACTCACTGTCAAAATCATAACACACACAAAGAAACAAGGTGTCATGAGGAAGAGCTCAGAGAAACAACAAAAAGCAGAATGAGACACAGAAAGTCTTTGCGTACTAGAATTATCAGATAAAGACATATAACAGAAACATCTTTAATATGCTCAATAAAAGAAGAGTATGTATATATAAGGAAATAGCAAGGGAATTTAAAAATATCCAAGTGGAATTAGAAGTGCCAATGTGCACTTTGAGAATAAAAAATATAATTCAATGAAAAGGTTTAATCCCAGAGTTTATAACTGCTAAAGGGAAAACAACAGAATTAAAGAACATATCTGAAGATATTCCAAATGCCATGCAGAGAGAAAAATAAACTGAAACATGGAGGCTAGAATCAGGTCTAGCAAACATCAAATAGGAGTTCCTGAAAAAAAAAAAAGAGAGAGAGAGAGAGAGAGAGAGAGAGAGAATAGGGTAGAAACAAATATTTAAAGAGATAATGGCTTGAACTTTTAAGGACTAGTGAAAAAGATACCAAACCACAGATTTCTAAGTTCCAAAACTAACAAGTAGGATAAATAAAAAGAAATTCACACTTAGATTCATCACACACAAACTACAACATCAAATATAAAGCGAAAATCTTTGAAGCTGCCAGAGAGGAAAGACAGAATACCTCCCAGGGAGTGACAGGGTAGAGTTAGCTGACTTCTCAAGAGCAACAATACAAGGCAGAAGTCAGTATGCAGAGAGAAAACCACCAATCTAGAAAAACTATATTTTGAAAATACAGGTGAAAAAAATTTTTCAGACAAAGAAGAACTGAGGTAGTTTGCATACTAAATGAAATTCTAAAGGATAAACTTCAGGAGAAGAAATGATCTCAGACGGAAATATTGAACTGCGAGAAGGAATAATGGACAGAGAAAATGTGGTACTAGGACAAAGGTCTAGGAATCTTTCCTAAACTGTGGATTCGTATATCTAATGCCTGCTCGACATCTCCACCAGGACATATATTAGATTGGTCAAACTTACCACATCCAAAACTGAACTCCTGATCTTCCCCCACATAAACGGCAACTCCATCCTTTGAGTTGCTCAGGTCAAACACCTCAGAGATACCTTGATTCTACTCTCTTTCACACTCCACATGAGAAAATTCTATCAGCTTTACTTCCCTAGTATAGTTTGAATTTAACTAGTTCCGGCTACCTTCATAGGCCACAAATCGCCTCTCACCTAAATGGCTGCAAAAGCCTTCTAGTGGTCTTCCTGCTCTACCCTCGTGCTGCTTCCCAGAGTCTAGTTCCAACATAGCAGCTGGAATAATCCTTTATCTGCCCTGCTCAACTCTACAACAGATCTGCGTATCATTCAGAATAAGAGCCAACATCTCACAGTGGTCTATAAGGCCCTGTGTGATCCCCACTTACCTCTCTGACCTCATCCCCTACTTCCTCTTCTCTCCCTTGTTTACCGAGTTCCTGCCACATGAGGCCTCCTTGAGAATCTTTACAAATGCCATGCACTTTCGCACCTTCTCGCTGGCTGAGCTCTGCCTGCAATGGAATGTCCTAGCCCTGGACATCCCCCATGGCTATCTCACCTTAAAGTCTTTGTTCAAGCTACATCTTTTGAAGGAGGCCTATATGTATCAATTAGCTAAAACCACACCTGGCACACAGAAGGGCACTTGGTACGTATTTGTTAAATCATTTGTGAATAAATGAACCATGTGGGTAAAGTGAAACGCTATCTGAAACCATTATAGTACTGCCTTATAGGTTTTATTTTTTTAAAGAGAGTACTAAAAGTCCATGACAACTAAACCCAGAGAACTACAATATATGACGATAATAACATACACGTCAAGAGGGATGTAACTGGAGTTACAGTGAGTTAAAGAGGAATGTAATATGAAGGAAGTAAAGATAGTGATTAATTTTAAACTTTTATAAGTTAAAACTGCATGTTGGCAGACACAAGGAGTCCATATTGCATGAACTTATTTATAATATATGAAGTTCAAAGACAATCAAAACTATTCTATGGTACAGAGGTCAGGAAAGTGGTAAACTTGGGGGCGTGTGTGTGTTAATGACTACAGCACTGTCTCAAAAAAAAAAGAAAGAAAAGAAAGGGAAGAAAAAACAGAACAGGTGGACAAATAAAAATGATAAAATAAGATAGCTGAAATTAATCTACATGTATCAAGAATTATGATGAGTAGGAATGAACAAGTGTACCAGTGTACCATTTAAAAGACAAAAAATTTCAAACTAGCTATTTTAAAAATGACTACAAAGGAGCATGAGGGGGCTTCTGGGGTGCTGTGTGTTGGTTACAGGGCTGTGTTCACTGTGTCTAAATCCACTGAGCTGTATATACTTATGAGTTGTACTTTTCAGGGGGTATGTATGTTACACTTCAAGGAGTAACTACTAAAATAATTAAAATACAGTGGATAAATTCCAAACCAGAAGAGAGGGGGTTAAAGAAATAAGAAGAAAAAAAGAAAAACCCAAACAATCCAAAAGAAAATAAAGGGAAGAGGCCGGGCATGGTGGCTCACGCCTGTAATCCTAGCACTCTGGGAGGCCGAGGTGGGCGGAATGCTCGAGGTCAGGAGTTTGAAACCAGCTTGAGCAAGAGTGAGACCCCATCTCTACTATAAATAGAAAGAAATTAGTTGGCCAACTATTATATATAGAAAAAATTAGCCGGGCATGGTGGCGCATGCCTGTAGTCCCAGCAACTCGGGAGGCTGAGGCAGGAGGATCGCTTGAGCCCAGGAGATTGAGGTTGCTGTAAGCGAGGCTGACGCCATGGCACTCACTCTAGCCTGGGCAACAAAGTGACACTGTCTCAAAAAAAAAAACAAAAAAGAAAAGAAAGGGAAGAAAAAACAGAACAGGTGGACAAATAAAAATGATAAGATGGCTGAAATTAATCTACATGTATCAAGAATTATGACGAGTAGGAATGAACAAGTGTACCACTTAAGAGACAAAAAATTTCAAACTTGCTATTTTAAAATTTTGGCTATATCTTGTTTCTAAGGGACATATATAAAGACTACACAAATAATATAAAAAGGTTGAAATTAAAACACTGGGAAACATAGACTAAGTAAATATTAACCAAAAGAATACAGTAAGCTATATTAATTAATAGTAGACAACAAAGACTGCAAGGCAAAAAGCATTATTACAGATAGAGGGCTACATAATCCCTCTACTATTAAATACTAAAGGATTTAATTCTCAATTTGCACACCCAATAACATAACATTAAAAACTGACGGAACCATAAGGAGACATATATGAGAACAACTCTCAATAAATAATAGAATACACTGTAAAAAATTAGGAAGTATGTCAAAGACATCAATGGCACCATTAATAAACGTAATCTAATGAACATGTATACAGAATATGTTAGAAATCAACATCTAGAAAAGTGCTTATTTTTAATAATTGCAAAACACACTTCTGAACATTTCAAGGATCAAAGAGAAATCAAAATAGTCATGTTTAGAAGTAAACAATAATAAACACATTGCACATCAAAATTTATGAGCTGGCGCTATCTATAGCAGAACTTGAAGGAAATGTACAACCTTGAATATTTATATTAGAAAAGAAGAAAGTCTGGATTATAAAGCTAAGCTTCAGATAAAGGCAGGAAATTAATAAAGATCTGAACAGAAAGCTTTGAAACCGAGAACAAACGTGCAAGAGAGACCTTGGGAGACATTACTATAAATTCTGCAGAGATTAAACTCATAATAAAAAAATAAAATGAGCAACATTTGCACAATACATTTGAAAATTTAGATGACATGGACAAATTTTAAGAGTAGTTCAGTCTAGATAGAATTTTTCTATTTGTTTAGCATATACCATAATACAAATTTTAATGCTTATGCTTAAAAATGAGACTATATGATACTTAAAAAAAATCACCCCATTTGTAGGCAGAAAACCTTTGTTTTTTAACTTCAAAACTCAGGTGACTGAGCAGAAAAATTGTGGGTTTTTCTTTGAACCACAGCAGAGACAGGAAACCCCACCTGGGTGCGTTAGGTGCCCCAAAGGATTACAGTGCTAGCAGAATTAAGCATCTCAGGTGCAGGCCAGAAGGAAACAGTGATCACTTGCCCCAAATAGAAAAATGAAGCATGACTGACAGCTCACATTTGCACTGTGCTTCACAGTGTCCTCAGATTTAGTGATTAATTTTAAAATCTTTTCCCTACATACTTCAGCTCTTTAAGTGGACATCCATTTTCTTACCTTTAAGACAAATAGTAGTAATGCCTACCACTTATTGGACATTCACATGTCAGAGACTGTCCTGGATGGCTCATATATGTTCTTTTTAATCCTTACAACATAACCAGGTGCTGTAGTCCCAGCCTTATAAATTAATAGATCAGTAGAGTAACTTGTCCATAGGTAGGGCCAAGATGCAAAGCCAAGTCTAGCTGAGGCTCCCTTCATCCATCCTTTTAAAGATGAAGGCTCCAGGCAAGAAGTTGTCTAGAGAGCCACAATGAGGTCAAAGCAGGCTCTGTCCAAGACAAGCCCACTACGGCCTGCAGGAAGTACCTACCTTCTGGATAACCTTTTGCAGAACAAAATACTTGTCAGTAAGGTCCCCAGCCTCGCTCAGCGGGGCATCATAGTCGTAGCTGGTGGGCTGTGCTGCATAGGGTATGTTGGCCCCTAGAAGACAAAAACATGCGCTAGTTACTACTGATGGCCCTGTCCTGGGACAGGTTCACTGGGATCCCTGGGCTCAGCATTGCAGAGAGAGAAAAATAAAGGACACAGTAAAACCACTTTTTTTTTTTTTTTTTTTGAGACAGAGTCTTGCTTTGTTGTCCAGACTAGAGTGAGTGCCATGGCGTCAGCCTAGCTCACAGCAACCTCAAACTCCTAGGCTCAAGCAATCCTTCTGCCTCAGCCTCCCAAGTAGCTGGGACTACAGGCATGCGCCACCATGCCCGGCTAATTTTTTCTATATATATATTAGTTGGCCAATTAATTTCTATTTATAGTAGAGGCGGGGTCTCGCTCTTGCTCAGGTTGGTTTTGAACTCCTGACCTCGAGCAATCCATCCGCCTCGGCCTCCCAGAGTGCTAGGATTATAGGCATGAGCCACCACACCCGGCCAGACCACTTTTTGAGAGGCATAGCTGTGGCCCTCAGGATGCAAGGTTTAGAGGAATAAGTTTCTTCCTACAGGTAGCATTTGCCAAGCACCTTGGAGTTTCCAAAGCGCCATCCACAGTCTCTGTGGATGCTCACAGGTGTGATCCTAACAGATCACTGGAAAATGTCCAGTGAAAATGAAGCTAGTCCAGATCCCCAGAGAAATCCGCTAACATCTCACAACTGGTAACAGCAGAGCTTATGACACGACCCACAACTCTGAGTCTTAACTACACAATCCCTCATCTTTCTCGTGTCCTGAATCTGTGCAGCGGAGATAAGGTCAATGGTGAAGACACAGGTGACTGGGCCAACACTCCGCAGAAAACCGAGGGGTTGGCCGGGCGAGGTGGCTCACGCTTGAAATCCTAGCACTCTGGGAGGCCGAGGCGGGCAGATTGCTCGAGGTCAGGAGTTCGAAACCAGCCTGAGCCAGAGCGAGACCCCATCTCTACTATAAATAGAAAGAAATTAATTGGCCAACTAATATATATATATATAGAAAAAATTAGCTGAGCATGGTGGCGCATGCCTATAGTCCCAGCTACTCGGGAGGCTGAGGCGAGGATCGCTTAAGCCCAGGAGTTTGAGGTTGCTGTGAGCTAGGCTGACGCCACGGCACTCTAGCCTGGGCAACAAAGTGAGACTCTGTCTCATAAAAACAAAAACAAACAAAAAAAAAACAACAACAAAAAAGAAAATCAAGGGGTTGTCAGACCAAACAAAGTGGGAGATGATGGCACACTGAGATTCAAACGTGGCCTCTGTAATACCTGCAGAGTGTAGGGGGGCTGCGGTGTGCCTCTTGGAACCCCTTTGAGGACAAAGGTGCACACCCAGTACCCCAGCTGCGAGGGCTGCTGGCTGCTGACATCTCCCAGATATGGCTGAGCTGCCTCACCCAGGGTGACAACCCTGCAGGGGTAGCCTGTATCCAGCAAATGCCCAGCGTGCCTCAAAGGGCCATCCCAGCTGCAGAGCTCCCTCTGGGGTCGCCAGAAGCCACTTGTGAAACTGCATCACAACCCGACTTCTCCCTCCGCCTCCCACGCACTGTCGTAGGTGTTGCTCTAGAGAGCACACCCAATAAACATCCTGCCTGGTAATCTCGGAGTCTGTTTCCCTGGGAACCTGACCTACAACAAAGACCAACGAATAGTGCCAGTACTGAAAAAAATCAAAAGGATTAGAAAAGCGAACACCCCTGCGATTATCATCCAAGGGGCAGAGTCTGGACCAGAGGCTCCCAGCCTTGTTGCAGAGGATGCTCACAGGCATGAAGCTGTCTGCAATACTGGGCACTACTTTGAAAACTTAACTCTGCATAAGAGTCATATAGAAAACTTATTAAAACAAACTGCTAAGCCCCAGCCTGAAGATTCTGATTCAGCAGGTCTGGGGTGGAGCCTGAGACTCTCTGCCATCTAGGGACCAGCGAGGCTTTGTGCCTTTCTCTTCTACTGCAGAGAGCGTTGTGTAACGCAAGTGCATGAGAATGAAGTTATTTTAGAAAAGTCTTTTTTGTCCAACCTAATTGGTAAGCCAATGAGGCACAAAATATGACAGTTTGCCTACGGCTAGTAATAAATTCCTTAGACACAGGGCACAAATGATGGAGCCCTCCTGGTGGTGGAGTTGACAGATGAGAGAGGCTGAGGATCAGGTCAGCCCTCGAAGACTTATTCATTAGTTCTCTGCACAGAATCTACATTTCAAAAGACATGGACTGCTCAGACAACTGAATTGATGTGGTCATTTTACTTTCCCCAATTTCTTATTAATCAGAGACAGCTGGCAGTCAACAGGTCCACCTGCTTTAGGGGATGCATAGGTTAAAACACATCCCTTCCCTTGAGACACAAAGAAGAATAAAACCACATCCCTTGCTGCAAAGCACACACCTTCTTTGTGGTCCTTCTGCTACCTCTAATGTGGTAGTGACTGTGCTCTCTTGTGTTTCTGAACTGCGTGCACCTCAGGAGCTGAGGCTGTGCCTCACTTGCCCTCGAGTCCCCAGCCAGAGCCAGGCATGGAGGCTCAACGAGCACTGGCCAAGTTGAGATGAACAAGTGTGACTTCCAGAAGCAAACTCTACAGGCTGAGGAAGCCCAGGGTTGGGAAGCCGGCCAGTGGGTTCAAGTGTGGACTGGGAGACTAGGTCTCTGTTCTAGCTCTGCCAGTGGACTCTTGGTCTGGATCAAGGGTCCTCAAACTTTTTAAACAGGGGCCAGTTCACTGTCCCTCAGACCGTTGGAAGGCCGGACTATAGTTTAAAAAAGAACTATGAACAAACTCCTATGCACACTGCACATATCTTATTTTGAAGTAAACAAACAAACAAACAGGCAAAAACACCCGCATGTGGCCCCCAGGCCATAGTTTGAGGACGCCTGGTCTGGATGTTCTCAGACCACCACAGGGCAGCACCACATGGAAACGGTGCACGCTCAAGCCTGCTCTGGCCACCTGAGGAGGTGTGAGGCAGAAAGGCCAAAGAAACGGTGAGACTTCTCACTCCTCAACTCCCCATGTTGTGAGAGAGGCACAGGAGAGCCTGGCTCCCGCAGGCGGCCACACGCAGGCGTGAAGGAGGAGGCACACCCCCTGCACAAGCGTGTGCACCTCTCCTCTGGGAAGCCGGCCTGAGGGACAGCCGCTAAGAAGGGAAGCTGAGACTGGCCCTCCCTCGCCTCCCTATAGAGACTGGGCAAAAAGGCAGGTGCAGAGAGGCCTGGCAGAACACAAGCGGGGCTGGCGTGGGGGTGGCCATGGGGCTTCAGGATGCAAGGGGTTGCCCAAAGGGCAGTGACTCTAGCTCACCACGGCCTGAGTTTGAATATTGGCTCTTCTTACCAGCTGAACAGGAAATGTGTGGACTTTTTTTTTTTGCACTCAGCTATTCTTACCTATAAAGTGGCGTTGATAATCCCTAGCCTAGATGAGACTGATATGAAGACTAAGTAAGAAAATAGAGGCAGAAAAGAGACTTCTATTGATTATGGCAGAGGCAGAGGCAGGGGAGAGAATTAAGGACAACTTCTATTTTCGGAGAAATGGTTTTTATATTATCTACATTTTTTTTTCCTAAGAAGAATATATTGTTTTAAGTAAAACAAGAAGATTTGAATTTATTTATTTATTTATTTATTTATTTATTTATTTATTTATTTATTCATACAGAGTCTTGCTTTGTTGCCCGGGCTAGAGTGCCAGGCGTCAGCTTGGCTCACAGCAGCCTCAAACTCCTGGGCTCAAGCAATCCTGCTGCCTCAGCATCCCGAGTAGCTGGGACTACAGGCATGCGCCACCATGCCCGGCTAATTTTTTCTATATATATATATTAGTTGGCCAATTAATTTCTATTTATAGTAGAGATGGGGTCTCGCTCTTGCTCAGGCTGGTTTCGAACTACTGACCTTGAGCAATCCGCCTGCCTCGGCCTCCCAGAGTGCTAGGATTACAGGTGTGAGCCACCGCGCCCGGCCGATTTTAAAAAATTGTTTCACGAACTGTTAACTTTCAAAAAATATCAGTCTTTATTCCTAGATGGGACGATCGGCCTCGATTTCATCAACGGCAGCTAGGTGGAATTCCCATCCACTGCGTGAAAGGTGCTACCATGTTTTAACTGTTTCCAGTGAGAAGACAGATATGCACAGAGGATTTAAAATGTCAATAACCAACCTTGGCACACTGTTATCTTTTAAACAGTGACATTTGAGTTTTGCAGTATCTTTATTTCTTGGCTCTAATAATAGTAATAAAATGGATAATGCTTGTAAGCAATGGCCCGTCCCAGCCTGCAAAGAAGATAGCAGTTCAAAGGGGAATCTTCACTAAGACCTGATAGCATCCAATTTTTCAGATCCTGAGACATTTAGGGCCAAACTATCCTCCAAAACTCAACAGTAGGGCAACCTAAATGATTCAGAGAGAAAAACGCAGATGTGGAGAGAGGTGAGGAATGAAACTTAGAGAAAAACCAACATGGCATAATTTGTCACAAAAAATCAGTGACGATGTAGAAAAATCTCCCATAATTTTTCCCACCAAAAAATTATATACACAGGAATGTAAAATGGTGCAGCTACTTTGGAAAACACCATGGCAGCTCCTCAAACTCTAAACACAGAGTTACCATTATGATCCAGCAATTCCACTCCTTGGTACACACACAAAAGAATTGAAACAGGAATCCAAATACTTGCACGTCAATGTCCATAGCAACATTACAGCCGAAAAGTGAAAACACCCCAAACGTCCATCAACTGATGAATGGATAAATATTGTCCATCTACACAATAGAATATTGTTCAGCAATAGAGCAGTGAAGTACTGATACATGCTTCACCATGGACAGACCTTGAAAACACTGGGCTAAATGAAAGAAGTCAGGCACGAAGACCATACACTGTATGGTTCCATCTATATAAAATGTCCAGAATAGGTAAATCCATAGGAATAAGGAATAGATTAGTGATTTCCAGGAGTCGGGTCAAAGCAGAGTGTAGAGTAACTGCTAGTGGGGATGGAGTTTCTCTTTGGGGTGATAAAACATTCTGGAATTTGATGGTGGCAATGGTTGCGCAACTTTGTGACTATACTAAAACCCATTAAATCATGCACTTTAAAATTGTGAATTTTATGATATGTAAATGATACATCGTATGCAACAAGATGTTAAAAAAAAAAAAAAAAAGACCACAGCAGAATATCTGAACAAAGAAGCCACATTCTTAGACCGCGACTGAAGCCTGCTCAACCAGCCTGGTTTAAAACAATAAGGCTCTAAATGCTCAAGTTATGATCCTTAAAAAAAAATTTTTTTTAATTATCTTTAAAAAATTATATAGGTAATTCTTATATATTAGAAAATTTAGAAGACAAAACAAAAATAGAAAATAAAAAACTGTCTATGGGCACATCCCCCCAAAATCAGTCAACAGAAACATTCTAGCATATGCCTTCTACAAACAGATGTTAAATTGCTCTTACCATTCCAATAGCCAAAATTGGTCCCACCCATAAACATGTACCTACAAGAAAACAAGAGAACACACAGTACTTTATCGTGAGCCCACAGCTACAGAAAGCTCCCTCCCCGCAGGCAACAAACACTCACAAGTTCACATTTGCCCCACGGTCAAGTATATCATAGAGGGAGGAAGCCACATCTTCAGATTTGACTGTCGAGTGAGGTGAGCCCCAATGGTCTAACCAGCCAGTATAGAATTCGGAATTGACCTAAAAAGAGAAAAGGATGTGGAGCTCAGGATAGACTTGCCACTTTCCAATGCTAGGGCTTCCCTGTCACACCCTCCACTGAGGGACAGGTGTCGGGGGAGTGGACATGCACCGCCTAACCCAGAGCCAGGGAACCCACGAGCACTCCCAATGACAGCCATGCTACACTCAGTCCTCCGGCTCTGACCTAAAGTGAGATCTCATCTTACACAACACAGGCTATCCTGAAAAGCTGTACCTACACCGAAATTTTGTTCACTGGTCCCCTGTTTAAATACAGTAGGAAAGTCTTACTGGGCAAAGGAATTGGACAGCAAAAAAATGTTTATAAAATAACCAGCTCCAAATCCACTCTTTGTGTAAATCTAGATTTTCAGCTCTCAGGTTGACTCAGAATGAGGTAGACCCAACCCGAGTAACTGTGCAAAGTGGTCCCAAACGCTTCATGTTTCTCTTGGGCATCACCCTGCCAAGCTCTTGGTCTCGAGGAGGAAAAAGAAACCTGGCCCTTCCTGTTTCAGGTTCCAGGAAATAGCTCCACCCAAAGTCTGTGAATGGAAGCTCCACACTGCTCACCCAGTGACTCAGAAGAGGTTGTTTTGTAAATAAGACTTGTACACAGGTGACGCGCTGCAAAGAGGGCGTAAGATAGAACCCCTTAAACGGGGCTGAGTAACAACAACAACAACAACTTCGGCTGGAGAAGGGAAGAGCAGAGCGAGCAGGTCTGAAAGATAATTTACAACTGCCCGGACCTCGCCACCATCTACACAGCATGCCACCGGGCCCCACAACTCAAAGGGTGGTCAGCAAACTGACGTCCTCAAAGCCACCTGGCTGCTTGTTGGAAATGCAGAATCCCGGGCCCCACCCAAGACCCAGCAGATCAAATTTTGCTGTGTTTACTTGAGGATGAACAAGATCCCCAAGTGATTTGTGAACACTTTAAAGGTGGAGAAGCTCTGTCACACACAGCTGTCAAGAAGCACAGACCTGAACTCAGATCCCGGCCCTGGCCACCCACCAGCTATAGGACCCTGGCAAGAGCCTCACTAAAAAAAGAGACAATGTATGAGAGTTGCCCTGAAAACCAGATGAGGTCAGGATGCAAGAGCATGGAGCTTGGTGCATGGCAGGCCATTCAAGCTGGTCCTCAGCCTGTCCCACTCCGGTGCAGGGCCTCAGTGTCAATAGCAGCATTGTTACTGCAGTCACCCATGTGTCCAGAATGGCTCTGTCCCCACAATGCCATCAGCTGCTGACCCGAGAGCCAGAAAAATCAAGGATCCACTCCACCCTCCTCCCTCGACAGCACGTAACCTCTCTCTGCCAACGGGTGCAATGAAATCGGTCCAAGCTAACAAAAGTCTCTCCACACCTCCCCCTCCATTCTTACCAAGGGTCCTTTGGGCTCACTCTTCCTCTGGATTTGGAAAGCAGCTGTGACGTTGTTGCCTGACAATTACAAGAGAGAAAAGAAAAGTCAATCATAGGAATGACAAGAAGTTGAATAACAAGAGCCTTTTATGGGACTTGAGTCTGGGCCCTGCTAGGGTCTGAATGTTGGGAGTCCTCCCAGAATTCCTATGTTGGAACCTAATACCTAATGTGACAGTGTTAAGAGGTGGGGCCTTTGGGAAATGATTAAGTCACGAGGGCTCCACGCTCATGAATGGCGTTAGTGCCCTTATAAAAGAGTATTCAAGAAAGCTCCCTGATTTTTTTCTTACTGATTTTCCTCAGTTCTATATAGATTCTAGTTATTAGCCCTTTATAGGATGTGTAGCATGCAAATATTTTCTCCTATTCTGTAGGTTGTCTATTCACTTCAGTGATAGTTTCTTTGCTGTGCAGAAGCTTTCTAATTTGATCAGGTCCCATTTATTTATTTTTGTCGTTGCTGTGATTGCTTTTGGGGTCTTCTTCGTAAATTCTTTGTCTAGGCCAATGTCTACGAGAGTTTCTTCAACATTGGAAAACTATTATGTAACTATAATAATTAAAAATAAAAAAATTTAAAAATAAAGTAACACGCAGATGCTATAGAAACATAATACGTGTTTTTTTGTTTTTGTTTTTTGAGACCGAGTCTTAACTCTGTTGCCTAGGCTAGAGTGCCGTGGCATCAGCCTAGCTCACAGCAACCTCTGCCTCCTGGGCTCAAGCGATCCTCCTGCCTCAGCCTCCCGAGTAGCTGGGACTACAGGCATGCTCCACCATGCCCGGCTAATTTTTTTTTATTTTTAGTAGAGACGGGTCTCGCTGTGGCTCAGGCTGGTCTCGAACTCCTGAGTTCAAGCGATCCTCCCACCTCTGCCTCCCAGAGTGCTAGGGTTACAGGTGTGAGCCACTGCACCCGGCCAGGATGCCTGTGTCTTATCTCGTCTCCTGTGTCTTCTATGGTCCCTTCCTCCTCTAAAAAGAAAAAGAATGTCTGTCTCCACGGATAAGCAGCAGGCTGCCTCACATCAGTGGAAGAGCAAGTATGAACAGTGTCCACGCCAACCAGAGAGGGGGACACCCTGGCCCCACGCTGCATGACCCAGTTCCCATGGCAGGTCTCCCAGTGTGGAAATGACATCAGCCAAGACCCTGCTAACCCTGCTCTGAGGCTGGCCTTTGGCTTCTTTGTCAGTCCAGCTTTCAGGAGAGAATGTGCTGATCAAGACAGACCAGAACCTCATTTACTTCACAGCTATGTTTCTCACTATTAAGCATTAGGTGGCATTCAGATCTTTTTTTTTTTTTTTTTTTTTGAGACAGTCTCACTCTGTTGCCCGCGATAGAGTGCCGTGGCATCAGCCTAGCTCACAGCAACTTCAAACTCCTGGGCTCAACCGATCCTCCTGCCTTAGCCTCCCAAGTAGCTGGGACTACAGGCATGCGCCACCATGCCCGGCTAATTTTTTCTATATATTTTTAGTTGGCCAATTAATTTCTTTCTATTTTTAGTAGAGACGGGGGTCTCGCTCTTGCTCAGGCTGGTTTCAAACTCCTGACCTGGAGCAATCCACCCGCCTCAGCCTCCCAGAGTGCTAGGATTACAGGCGCCTGGCCTCAGATCTTTACACATTGTTCTCATGAGACCACACCCCTCTCCAAGCCATGCCCGTCTCCCACACAAATGAATGAATCCGGCAAAAGCCTCAGGCTGCAGGGCCCACCCACCCTGGGCACACTGGCCTTGCAATGGTCTGTTCTCCAACCCCAGTGGTGACGGTCACACTGTCACCTCATGCAGATAATGCTTACAACACATTCATAATAACTTTCGATTTGTTCCTCCCAACAGAAAAATAGTGTGCTTTTTCATCGCTGTGATGGGAAGTGTGCCAGAGCTGAAGGAAACCAGCATGCCACTTCCTCTGCGGCTCTTTGCAGATGAGCTCTGTCATCACCTCACGCTCTGAGCAAGGCGCATGTTTCTAGAAACAATTCACTTAAGGTCACGTCTTATCTTCTCTTTTTTGATAACATAGGAGAACCTCTTTAAAAACGTAGGCTGGGCACGGGGTCTCACGCCTGTAATCCTAGCACTCTGGGAGGCTGAGGCGGGTAGATCGCTCAAAGTCAGGAGTTCGAAACCAGCCTGAGCAAGAGCGAGACCCCCGTCTCTACTAAAAATAGAAAGAAATGAGCTGGACAACTAAAAATATATAGAAAAAATCAGCCGGGCATGGTGGTGCATGCCTGTGGTCCCAGCTACTCGGGAGGCTGAGGCAGGGGATTGCTTGAGCCCAGGAGTTTGAGGTTGCTGTGAGCTAGGCTGATGCCACGGCACTCTAGCCCAGACAATGGTGATACTCTGTCTCACAAAAAAAAAAAAAAAAGGTGATATGTGCATGGAGTGTCTCATGCCTCAGAGGGAAGGGCAGCAGAATCTTTATGCTATTTGGGAGACTAATCTTTTTTTGGTAGCTTTTTATTTTGAAATAATTTCTAACTTATAAAAAGTTGTAAGAATAGTACAAAGAACCCTCACATTCCCCTCACCTAGAATCCCCAGCTGTTCGCATTTTACTAGATTTGCTCTATCAGCTTCTCTCTCCATGTAAAAATAGACAGTTTTTTCTGAGCCATTCGAGAATAATTTGTGGACATGTTGGCCCTTTGCCCCTAAGTACTCCGGTGTTTATCCCCTAGAAACACATAATGCAATGATAAAATTTCAACAATTATAAAAATTTAAACCCAAAACAATCCCAAATTCAGAAAATTACATTGATACGATTTTCTAATCTACAGATTTTATTCAAAGAGTGCAATTATCTTAATAATATCCTTCATAGCAAAAGAAAAAAAAAATCCAGTCTGGGATCCTATTTGGGATCACATGTTGTAATTAGCTGTCACATCCCCTGTGAAAGCTGCTCTCAATCCACATGAAGACTGTCTTAACATTTCTTATGGCCAGAAGCACCCTGGCCACACTCCGAACCCATCTAGAACGTTCATTGCAGACCCTCCATAGCTTACACCTGTGGTCCTCCAACTTTTTAAACAGGGGGCCAGCTCATTGTCCCTCAGACCGTTGGAGGGCCGGACTATAGTTTAAAAAAAACTATGAACAAATTCCTATGCCCACTGCACATATCTTATTTTGAAGTAAAAAGACAAACGGGCAAACACACCCACATGTCGCCCACGGGCCGTAGTTTGAGGACGCCTGGCTCACGCAGTATTCATGAGTCTGGCAAGACAGTTTTTGTAGCATCTGCCAAACCACCTTCAGCCCCGTTGAGAGTTATGCAGAAAAATAACAGACGTATAAGGTAGATTTCCAGCTAGTGGTTGACTTCAAAGTTGGCTATGGCCAGGACATGGCCCCCAGTGTCCTGCCAAGATCAGAGGGCAGGGAGAGCAGAGAAGAGTGGAGAAGCCTGACCCAGACACAGGGCCTCAAAGGCAACTGCCTCAGGGAAGAGCGTCTCAGAGCTGGGACTGCCCACCTGTGTCCTCACCCTGGGTGGGCCGGCCCTGTGCTCCAGGTCCCAGGCTAACTCCACCAGTGCGTAAGTGCAGTGACCTGGAAGCTCTTGTCCTGCAGATAACCCTCTGCTACTGCGAGACTCGGCTGTTCTATTTTACCTATCACTTGATAAAAGAAAACCTGAGAAATCTCATTCAATCTGCCCACAACACCTAAATCAACAGCTGCCCAGAGTAATCGACTGAGTAAAAAAGGTGATTTTAAACTGCATTTGCGGTCACTGCAGACACCAACCTGTTCCGAAGTCCACTGTGCTGTAGAGGCCCTGCAGGCCCCCGCACTGCAGAAATCTTTCCTGTGCCCCGTCCGTGGTGAACAGAACCACGTCGTCACCCAGGTAGTAGCGGAAGCGCTTCAGCAGGAAACGCAGGTAGTTATGATCGCAGGCAATGTAGCTGCCATATTCATTTTCAACCTGCAAATGAGAAAAGAGGAGGCTGAGGCAGGAGCATCGCTTGAGCCCAGGAGTTCAAGGTTGCAGTGAGCTCTGGTGCAGCCACTGCACTCCAGCCCCGGCAACTGAGTGAGACCCTGTCTCAGAAAAAAGAAAAGAGAAGGGAAAAATTAGGAGATCCCAACATAGCCATTCTAATGTAAGCTTTTGTTTAGGGAAAATATCTGAGCTTCATGATTGCCAGAAAAATCTCCTTCGCTTAGACTGCAAAACTCATTTCTCTAAAAAAGCAGCTCAGCACAAAAGCTTACCTTCTACTAACCCTTCCCTACCACCCAGAAATAAGAAAAAGAAAATACACCAAAGTAGTTTTTGGTTTGTAGTAATATTCTCCCTTATAGTAGATATTTTATTTTTTTCTTTTTTTGTTGTTGTTTTATTTATTTTTCTGGCACTGATTGATCTTGCATATAGTAGATATTTTAAACATTATATGAATAATACCTTCCAATGGTAAAAATATTGGCAAATGGAGAAAAATGAAAAGAAAATGGAAAAGGGATCTGTTAATTCTATTGCCCAGAGATAATCAATGAAAGCATTTTAATATATAGCTTTCCAGATTTACACAGACGCACACATACGCTAAATATACACAATAAGTGTCTCCTTCCCCAAAACTGGTATCATATTATATGTATCGGTTGTCACACTGCTTTTTTCTTTTAACACATTATGCAAAATCTCCACGACGATAAGAAGGTGTATGCTGGGCGTGGAATTCTTGCACCATTGTTCATTGGACATCTTGCTGTCAGACACACAGGCTCTTTCCCGTCTTGTGCTCCGTCACCAATGCTGAGTCTGTGCTAAAGCAGGGGTCCCCAGCCTAGGGTGAGCTGCATAATTATTTCATTATTTGTTACAATGTAATAATAATAGAAATAAAGTTCACAATAACTGTAATGCTCTCGAATCATCCCAAAACCATCTCTAACTGTCTCCTGCCCCGGGTCTGTGGAAAAACTGTCTTCCATGAAAACGGTCCCTGGTGCCAAAAAGCTTGGGGACCGCTGTGCTGAAGAATGTCAGTGGCTCCCAAAACCAGGAGCTATTTTGCCCCCCAGGGGGCATTTGGCAATGTTTGGAAACATTTTGGTTTGTCACATGGAGGGGGGGTGCTAATGGCATCAGTGGGTAGCGGTCGCAGCAGGGAGATGCTGCTGAATGTCCTACGGTGGCAGGACAGCCCACGGCAAGGAAAAGCCAGGTGCAGCGTGGCTGCAGCGTGGAGGGTGGGAAGCCCAGCGCTGAAGCGCATACGAACTGGGTAGCACCTCCCAGGGGTGAAAATTGATTCTTATGGGATAAAAACATCTTATTCTTTTTACATATAAAACACAGGTGCACTTACTGTATATAAAGGTATACATTTAAAAAAAAAAGGCCGGGCATGGTGGCACATGCCTGTAGTCCCAGCTACTCTGGAGGCTGAGGCAGGAGGGTTTCTCGAGCCCAGGAGTTTGAGTTCAGCCTGGGCAACAGAGCGAGGTCCTGTCTCTAAAACTAAACAAATAAAAACAGCAACAACAGATATACAATATCGCAGGTATTACAATTTCATGGTGGGGAGGGGGAGGTAATTAGAAAATGATGTCTAAAAAGGCTCCTTAGTGGGCAACAATGAAAAAAAAAATGGTTAACATTGCACTCAAGCAATAAAACAAATGAACTTCAGTTCTACCCAATACGCCAAAGAATCTAAGAAACATACTGTCGAGTGAAAGAAGCGTGATGCCGAAAAATACATACAGTACAATCCTCCTTGGAGAAAATTCAAAAACAGTAAAAAACCAAACTATAAAGTCTGAGTGACCACATAGGTGGTAAAAGTACAAACAAAAGCAAAGGCCTGATGGCCATAAAAGTCAAGACAGTGGGAGGGAACGAGGTATGATCAAGAAGATCACCTGGGAAGCTTCTAGGGTACTGGCCACGAGCTGTCTCCCATCTTTGAAGAGTGGTTATGTGGGTGTTCACATTATAATGATTCGCTATACTGCACATTTATGTATGCATGCCACTTTTTTATAATTTCACAAAAATTTTTTGAAAACCCAACCATAAAATGTCAACTTGCACATAATACAAATCGAATCGTTGTCCTCCTAGGCATACATGGTCTTCAAACACAAGCACGAGACACTGTGAGCACCCAGAACAGAGGTGCTTAGCTCGAGGGTAGCTGGGCGAGATGGTTAAGGAGGTGTTCCCAGAGAGGAAGGAAAGGCTCCAAGCTGGGGACGGAGAATGGGTAGAGGGCATTCCTGCAAGAGGCAGCCTGTTTGTGAAACCACCAGTAGCTTGATTTTGCCTGTGTGCAGAGTTGGAGAGCAGGAAAGGAATGGTGAGTGGTGGGAATAAACTATATGCCACCATCATTATTTGCATAGTCCTGCTGCCTCCCAAACGGCTTCGTGAGTGATTGTTCTCTCAGACAGGATCCTTCTGGCAATACTTTCCTATTTGGGGTTCAAGAAGCAAGACAGACTGTAGCAAGCATGCCCAGTACCGAGGTCTTCACTGGTCACGAAGGCATCCTGAACAAGGAGGTATCTGCTGCTCACATGGAGTAGAAAACTCCCACTGGTAAGTTTCACAAAAGTTCCCTTTGAAATAATTTAGATGAATGCTAAAAAAAAAAAAAAGCTTTGCAAATACTGGCAAGGTTCTTTTTCCTCATTCTCTCCCTGCTCCTTCTTTTTTAGAGACAGGGTCTCACTCTGTTGCTCAGACTGGCGTGTAGTGGCACACTCGTAGCTCACTGCAGCCTTGAACTCCTGGGCTCAGGTGAAGTGGATCCTCCTGCCTCAGCCTCCCAAAAAACTACAGATGAGGACCACCATCCCTGACTAATGTTTTTAATTTTTTGTCGAGATGGGGTCTCACTATGTTGCCCAGACTGGTCTCTTAAACTGGCCTCAAGTAATCCTCCCACCTCAGCCTCCCAAGCGCTGGGAGTACAGGCATGAGCCACCGTGCCCAGCCTCCCCTCTTTTAGTAAATGCTACTTAAATGGCTGTGTCTCCCTTTATCATTTATTTGGCTGCCAAGAAGTTCAAAGCTGAATCCAAGGGTCAGCTCTAGCCACTAAGCAGGCCCAGAATCTCTGTGCCTCATGTCCTTTACTGCCCACCCGCATTTCCCAAATCCAACCTCGGTTTTCTTCCCTACAATCCCACTGGTTCAAGTCTTATTTATCCCTTATCATCATTATATCACTTACGTTAACATAAACAGGCTTATAAAAAATGCATACAGATAATTTGGTTAGGTTTTGAGAGCGAGAAAAGCACATTGGCAAGGCACCTTAAAGTGGTGGCCGTGGGTGCAGGAGGCTGAGGCCCAATTGTCCACATGCAAATCTGGGCTCTGCCACTCCCACCTGTGGGACTCCACCTGTAAAGTGTCCCTACCTCGCTGGGTTGTTATGGGGAGCAACTGAGTCAATACATGACTAGAGCTCTGCATAGCACCCGGCATCTGGCAAGTGCTCAAAAAGCTAGCGACTAAGCTCAAGTTATATGGTATTGCCAATTAGGGAAGAAAAAGGGGTTTGTGAAAGCTTGGGGTGGGGGAAACACACACACAGAAAAGGGCTTGAAAGACCATAGAAAGAGTCACAGTGAGGTTCAGAGGAACCTTGCGTTTTCCAAAGCAGGAGTCAGCACAAACTTTTTCAATAAAGGGCCAGAGAATAAATATTTAGGCTTTGCAGCCATAAGGGTCTCCATCTCCACTACTCCCCTCTGCCATTGTAGTGCAAAAGCAGCCAGAGTCAATATATAAACGAATAGTGCGGTTATTCCAATATACCTTTATTTACAAAAAGAGGAAGAGGGCGGCCACAGTTTATAGGTCTTTTCTAGAGTAATTATCCATCCTATAAGCTCCTTAAGCACCATAGCCTCTTAAAGTTGTTGATCTTGCAAACAACAGGTATAAGCAGCCTCACTACCTCATGATGAATACTCCACTAATTGGATGAAGCACCATTGTGGGTGGCTCCTAATGAGTTTCATCTTGTATATGATCGGTGGGTGCTTGAGGCTTTACCCACGTTAGGTGCAAGCTGAGATAAACCTCCACGCCTGCAAACCACCACAGGTGACCCTGGCTCCGCTGATCCCTCCAGAAGATAAACACTTGCAGATCCGGCTGAATCATAAGGATGAATGAAGGTCAGGCTGCATCTCTAAGACAACAGCATTGAGGGCCCTGACTGTCCTCAGGCAGGAACTGGAACCTTCTGGTCTGACTCATTTTTGCCCTGGCTGCACACCCAGAGCTCCTCTGTGGCCTCCTCAAACTCTCTGGACACCCAGAGAGAACACCATCATGAATTGAGAAAAGCCGTAATTTTCTACCCCTCGACATGAGTTAAGACAGAGATAGAAATCAGCTTTTACAGATATCTTTACACACAGAAACACTGTCTACAAGTCCCCCAGTTCTTTCTTATCAAGCCCATCCTCTATTCAATTCCAGCCCATTTGGTGGGTGTGTGACACGACTCGGGCTTGTGGGGAGCCAGAGAGACTAGGGATGCCGCGGGTCCGGGGTGTAACAAGGTAAGCCGCCGTGTGCTTCCCCGGAGCAGGCACCAAGCCAGGGCTCTGCGAGTCCAGCTTCTGGACAGCCGGAGCTTGCATGTGAGCTGCGCCTCAAAAGACAAGTAGGGCAACCGTGAGCGATGATGCACAAAGAGCTCTTACTGATATGAAAAATTGCTTACGACATAAAAATGAAGTGAAAAAAGCCACACAGAAAATAGGTCATGCAGAATGAACTCACTCTGTAACAAGGAAGGGAAAAAAAAAAAAAAAGCCTAGTAAAATATTCAAGAAAACTCCCAAAACGTGAAGAGCTCAGTTTCTGGCTCTTGAGGTTTGACTGACAATTAAATTTTTTCTGCTTTCTTGTTTTTCTGTTTCATTTAGTAAACAAGGGGCAAAAAAAAAAAAAAATGAAGAGATGGGGGCTTCAAGCAGGTGGAGTGGGAGGGACAGAAAAGGAAAAGGAGGAGGAGGAGGAAGGGAAGCAGAGAAGAGGAGGAGGGGAGAGGAGAGGGAGGGGGAGGAAGGGGAAGGGGAGAAAGAAAAGGGAGAGAGGGGAGAGGAGGGGAGGGAAGAGGAGGGAAGGGGAGAGGAGGGAAGGGGAAGAGGGAATGGGGAAGAGGGAAGGGGAGAGGAGGGGAGAGGGAGGGGAGGAGGGGAGAGGGAGGGGGGGGGAGGGGGAGGGGGGGGGGGGGGGGGGGGGGGGGGGGGGGGGGGGGGGGGGGGGGGGAGGGGGGAGGGGGGAGAGGGAAAGGAGGTGGGAGGAGGAGGAAGGGGGGGGAGGAGGAGGGAGAGGAGGGGGGCAGCGTCACCTATCAGGATCCAGAGTCAGTTAAAGCCTTCTGAAGTTGCCAGGGACTGACATGAGAAGAAACATCTCCAAGACAGTTGACTTCACTACCCTCTGCAGACTTGATTACGTCTTTTGTGGCATTTCCACAACCAAGAGGTGCAGAGAAGTTGTGAGCAGAAATTGAAAGTGATTCAAGGAGAAGCAGAGGCTGAAAAAAGAGGCCTGCTAAGAAGAGGGCTCGCACCTGAGATCAGAAGGAAGGAAGGACACAGGCACGCAGAGCAGAGGCGCACCCACGTTTCAGACTTGGCATCTTCACGCAAGAAAACGTGGCCCCTATCAGCTCAACCAGAGCAGACTCAGGACGGGTAAAGGAGGAAGGGGCTTTGAGGGGCTACGTGTACAACCTCTGTGAGCAGCAACCCGCCTCTCTCAAGACGACACCTCCTCCCACCATGCAGCTCAGAAGGGACACTCAGCACCTCAGTCCCCCGAAGCTGAGCGGCAAAATAGGGGCCGAGCTCCCACCCCGCGACCCGCCCCTACAACCTGTCCATAGTCCTGTTCCTAAGAAGGAAACCGGGCCCAAGGGAGTGCCACACTGCAACCCCAGGGAATCACCAGAATGCCGCCAGTTTTACACAACTTTATTTATTCTTTTCAGTAAGAACAGCCTTGGTAAACGTCCAATGAACATGGTCTTATGTTTTACTTCAGTAATTTTACAAACACCAAAAACCACAAAGTTCAAGGATCCCGAATTTTCACACGGAGCATATGTGAAAAACATGATGTAGCCCACAGCGTATCAGTCTTTGCAGAACCAAGAACACATGGAGGAAGGAGAGTGGGGCAGGAAGTAGGAGAGAACACTTAATGGCCCCAACCCACCACATCCTTTCCCACTCCGGGGTTGCCTGGCGGCCCAGGCAGCGCAGGTACCAAAGCGCTTCCGTCCATGCTGCCTCCCTGCAGCCAGAAGGCAGTATCCCAAGAGAGACAGAGACAGACTCTGGCATCAGTGGAACGAGGGTGCAATATTGACTCTGCCACCAGCCAGCGAGGTGACCTTGGCCAAGTCACTTAGCCTTTTTGAACTTCTTCATTTTTTTTTTTTTTTTTT